ATTGGTTTGGCAATGAAGAAATTAGAATGGATGGTAAATTAGATTGGATGGTAGCTTTAATAAAAAATATGGTAAAATGAATATTTTTTTTCCACATAGGAAAGATTTGAGTATATTAGTAGAATAAAGAAAAAATGTCCATTGAATGGGAGATAGTGAAGCTATGAGGCAGAAGTAATGTGGTAGTGGAGAGTGTAAGAGTGCGTGGTGAGATTTATTATTGGAAAACAGCCAAAGACTTTTCTTGGAAATGCTGAGCAGGAGCAAAAAGGAGACGGGGTATGAGAAATATAGGGCTGTTCTGAAGTGGTGGCAAAGGCAGTAATAGGAATTTTTATTAGATACTTGTAACCTCATTCAAGTAGAGATGAAGACAAGGAAGGAAGATGGTGCAAATAATTGTCTTTTCACGATTCACAATGATTGCAATCATTATTTTTTAATTTCCCAGTCATGTTTAGGGCCATGAAAAAAGTATATTTATAGGAAAGAAAGAATAATTATAGAGGTTTAGATAGTATTATAAAATCTTTTTCTTTAAAGCCTAACAGGTTAAAGTTAGGAAATATGAATAGGCTTTACATTTTTTATGGCACAGTATTATAATTTACTATTTAAATCTGCTTTCCAATGAAATTTTAAGAACTACTTTATTTGTATATAATTAATATGCAAAAGACTGTACATATTTAAAGGGTACAATTTGATAAATTCTGACCTATGCATACTTCTTTGAAATCATCATTGTAACCGAGTTAATACATGCCCCTTTGTAATTCTTCCTTTCTGCCTGTATCTCCCTGTGCCCCTTTCACAAATTCTCATATGTTGTGTTTTCACTTTCATTCTGTTCAAAGTACTTTCTAATTTCCCTTTTTCTTTTTTGACCCATGGATTATTTAGAAATACGTTATTTAATTTCCAAATATTTGGGGATTTTCCAGAGATCTTTCTGTTATTTACTTCTAATTTAATTCCATGTAGTCACAGAACATATTTTGCCTGATTTGAATCCTTTTAAACTCATCGAGACTTGTTTTATGGCTTATAATATGGTCTATCTTAGTAAATATTGCTGTTGTTGGGTGGGGCATTCTATAAATGTCTATCTTGTCAAGGTGGTTAATAGTATTATTCAAATCCTCTGTATCCTTACTTATTTTCTGTTGGTATGTTCTGTCAGTTACTGAGAGAGGGTTATTGCAATCTCCAGCTGTAACTGTGTATTTGTCTGTTTCTCATTACAGTACTATAGTTTTTACTTCATACATTGTGAAACCCTATCTATTAGGTGTATAAATGTATAGAATTATTATGTGCTACTGATGAATTGACTCCTTCATAATTATAAAATGACCTTTTTTTTTTTTTTTTTTTTTTTTTTATCCCCTG